CCACAGTGTTTGTTGGTCAACCCAACCAGGAAACCTCCACTGGAAACCACCCGGTATCGAGGAACCTCCCCAGGAGAACACTGGAAAGTGGACTTCACGGATATGGTAAAACCTGGCTTGCAGGGACACCGCTATCTCCTGGTGATGGTAGACACATTCACTGGCTGGGTAGAGGCCTTCCCCACTAAGTCTGAGTCAGCCCTGGTTATAGTTAAAAAGCTACTACATGAGATTATACCCCGATTTGGCCTCCCATTATCAATGGGGTCCGACAATGGCCCGGCTTTTATAGCCCAAGTTACTCAAAAGTTAGCCCAAGTATTGAAAATCAGTTGGAAACTCCATTGTGCCTATCGGCCACAAAGCTCGGGACAAGTAGAGCGCATAAACCGGACCATTAAGGACGCTTTGACTAAGCTGTCTTTAAAAACTGGTGACAATTGGGTGAGCCTTCTTCCCTTTGCATTGCTGAGGGCCAGATGCACCCCATATATTTCTGGGATCTCCCCCTTTGAGGCTATGTTCGGGAGACCCCCACCTATAGTTCCTAAGTTGTCAGAAGACAAATTAGCCGAAGTAACTAACCAAGATCTCATTAAGTCCTTACAGAGTCTCCAGCCTGTACTGACCTCAATTCACCGGCTGTTCAGACAAAAACATCCGAACCCCCCCTTGGGAACGCTGCCCCAAGCGTCAATTGAGCCAGGAACGTCGGTCCTGGTGCGACGACACCACCGGGATTCGCTTGAGCCGCGCTGGGAGGGACCGTTCACCGTGGTGCTCAGCACTCCCACCTCCGTCAAGGTAGCAAGAAAGACTGCGTGGATCCACCACACACAAGTCAAACCACTGGAAGCTACAGACGACGAAAAGGGTCCCCGATGGACAGTACAACGGACTGGTAACCCATTAAAGTTAAAGTTTGTAAAGGACTCTCAGCCATAAAATTATGTCTGTACTATGGTATTTGGCTTGGTGCTCGATTATAATTGTAAACCCCGGGAATGGGGACTGGATTGTTTCAGACGAGAAAACTAAAAGGGAACTAGGGAGAGCTAAAGGCACGATAAATCAAGTCACCATTGACCTATGTATACTTTTCAATGGGATAATAATTAATGATGACAGCCCAACTGGCAGGGTAGGTGGGTCGGTCCACCGTAACCTCTGCTCGGGCCGTGGGCCTAAAGCTCTGCAAGTTATGTTCCAACTCAAGCAGGCATCCCTGTATGTATGTCCTAAAAACCAGCCTGACCCCAATTATAATGTGTACTGTGCCTCCGATCCAAAACATCAATATTGTTATTCGTGGTCATGTGTCACAGGAGGCCTAGATGGATACTATAACTCTGAAAAGTATCTCGCTGTCAAGTACATAGGAAACAAAAACTGTTATGGTGTTTATACTTGTAACCCAGTCCAGCTGACCTTTCTAAATCCAACGGATTTTAGGTGGCTGGGGCAGGGACTTACTTACGCTGTTAAAATTTATAAATCTGGACATGATCCTGGAATTAGTATCAATATCTTATACAAGCCACCTAGAAAGCCTCCTGTAGTCATTTACAGGAGAGGACGCCGCCCAGTGACAGCCCCCACTCAGAAGGCACCCATTAATTTCCCACTCAGTCGACCCCGGAGGCACACTCCGACGACTAAAGTGACTGAGGCCACATACAATGGGAGCATTTACCACACAGACCAGCCCCAGATAAAGCTGTGTAAATGGAGGGGGAAAGGGGGCATCCCATACTGGATAGAGATTAGAGTGCCTAGCTTCGATCCAACCTCGATGCAACCTTCAACAAGGGCTACAAAAACTGGTTTGAGAAGGTCTAGACGGGCACAGACTGAGCCCAAAGCCTCCGCCCCACCTTCAATGATAGCGGAAATATTCCAACCTTTGGAAGTAGCAGCTGAGCTACTTAACAGTTCCCTTGATAGCGATTTAAAAATCCCATGCTGGCTGTGCATGTCCCCAGAGCCCCCCTTCTATGAGGGCTACATCACGGTCACTGATAAACTAGCCTCCGATCCCTCTAGATGCAAAATGCTCCTTCCCCAATCGCTATGGAAAGGCACCAGTTTAGAGGGGATAACTGGTACCTGCATATATCATTTTAGCCACACAGCCCCTGAGTATTGCGACCTTTCTCACTCTTATCGCATCACAGGAGCTGGTGACGCTACTCCCCTAATAGCCCCGGCCAGCCATTGGTGGGCTTGTACTTCAGGATGGTTCCCTTGTATGATTTCAAAAAAAGTTCGTTGTTGACCAAGATGAGGTGTGTGTACTAACCCAGGTTCTGCCTAGAATCTACTGGCACTCCGAGGAAGAAGGGAACCGGGCTCTCATCTCAGCCAGTCACCAGATCAATAAGAGAAGTCCAGCCCTCCCTATTATGGCTGGGATCAGTGTATTCTCAGCCCTCGGGATGAGTGCTGCGTCCATGGGAGTTAGCATACACCAATACAATATGCTATCTCAACAGGTAGATAAAAAAATAAAAAGAGTCCAAAATGCTATTGAGGCCTTAGAGAGTTCAATGGACTCATTAGCTGAAGTAGCTCTCCAAAATCGCAGAGGACTAGACCTCTTGCTTGCTAAAAAGGAGGACTGTGCTTGGCCCTGGGAGAGCAATGCTGCTTGTACGCCAATAAGTCTGGGGTAGTTAGACAAAACTTAGCGGAACTCCAAAGAGGCATACAAGAAAGAGAGAGACTAAGACAAGGAGCTCTAGGGTGGGCGGAGCAAATGTTCTCCTTCCCACCGTGGATAACCAACATAATAGCGACCGTAGCCGGTCCTATCATTGTGATTCTAGTGCTAGCCACTTTGGGCCCCTGCATAGTAAATAGGCTGACTGCATATGTCAAGCGTCAGGTACAAAGTATAAAATTAATGATGGTCAGGCAACAAGCGTATGAGCTTGTCCCCAGCAGACCTTAAGTACGGCCAAGGATTTGGCCCAGAAGTCACAACATCAGAGGGGAATGTTGTACTCTAAGAAAGTAGCTTCATCATTTTGTGTATTATAGCAAACCTGTACCGCGGCTTACTAAATGTTTTCTTTTCTTAACTGATATGTTAAGTGACCCAATTGATATGTTGAGCAATACTCTCCCCTGTAAAGAATTGCAAGAATTTCACTTAATTGAAATGTTAATCACGGAGCGGCCCTCTACAAACAAGAAGAGTGGTGCTAAAACAAGCTAACAAGGGCTGTTAATCACGGGTAGGCGCCTCTAGTCTTCGCTAAAGAACTAAAGAAGACAAGAAGGCCCACTAATTTACACATTGTTTGAAGTAGTGTGTTTATATGCAGGGAGATTTGCCCATGAGTTTAACCTTTTTACCTAACCTTAGTTACTCTTCCCACAAGATAGATACTCGCCGTTTTCCTGTTCTGTAGCGCGCCTTATTGCCTCCCCCCCACCCACCTATCTGGGCCATAAAGAATTTGGGTTTCTGGTGACCTCTCCCCGACCTGGTGATGATCTGTCATAAAATGAGCCTGCCCCAATTTTAAGAACTGTTTAGCTTCAAAGAAATTACCGGGAAATACTGTGGCCCAAACCCCGATCGGTGCTTTCCTTTTGTTCTGTATGTACCAATGGGTTAGATATCAGATCTTTGTAAAACTTAAGTTCCAGCATCTCATAACTCGTGACCCCTTCGCACTCACTGGCGAAGACAAGCTGTCCTAGGATAATTAACTCTCCACTTTCTTCCCCAAATATTGCTGCAGATGTGCCACTCTGAGATAATGTCAGTCTGCAGGATGGGAGTAATTTGAGCAACACCAGGAACTCCCGGGACTGTCAGAGCTAAGTGGACAGCAATACAGTTTCCAGATGCGGGTCAACAGGTTTAATGGCCTTACAGGTTTCCTCCCCACTTTCCCTTACTTTTAAAAACCCCTTTCCCCAGTCTGGGGCGCGCAGTCTTTGGTTTGATCTAGGAGAGACTGTGCCGCCAGGACTGGCTCAATAAAGCCTTTGCCACTTAAGTTTTGGACTCTTGTTTCCGTGGACTTTATACCGGGGCCCACGTTATAACACATACCATTTATTTGTCTCTGGTTTCATGTATCAATGAAACCAGAGAATGAGGAAAACACAATGGAAATCCCTTTGCAACAATTCATTAGGTAGTTTATTTGATTAATTATTTAAATACTGCCAGGGATTTAGCTCAGCCTGTCTGGCAAGCATGAGGTCGTGAGTTTGATCCCTGGAACAAAAAAAAAAAAAAAAAAAAAAAAAAAATATATATATATATATATATATATATATATATATATATATATTTAAATACTATCTGATTTCATCATGGTTTTAAGAACTCTGGGTTATTAATATACTAAAAAATTGATTTGCATGACTGTAAAGGCAGAGTATCCTCTTAATGGGCTTTGAGATTCACCCAGGAGATTAGCAAAGCACAGTTTTGGATACATCTGGGTGGGTCACAGAGACAGGACCTTGAGGTCTGTATCTGGCCTCTCCTCCCTTCCTCTCTCTTCTCCTGCTCTGCTTCCTGGTCACTAAGAACTAAGCAGTTTGCTCTGCCATGCCCTCCACCGAGATGTTTCTGCCTTGGGGGCTGCCAACCAAGGAATGAACCCCTGAAACCACTGATCAAGGTAAACCTCTACTCCTTTAAATGTTTAGCTGTGAAGCATGTGTACCAGTGACAGGAAATCTGGCCAACATAAGTCTCAATACTTTTTTCCTCCCACGAGATTATAGACAAATGATATTGTGATGTAACACAAATCTCTTGTATGTTTTTCTCCTTTATCTTCCTCTCAAGAAAACATACCAAAAGGTGAGGGGCTGGTATCACTAAGGGGAAAGCCGTCCATCTGACTTCCTGTTAATTATGACTTTTTTTGATGGAACTCAAATTTGACCAAGATGTGCCACTGGGAACCATTGCACAAGATTGTGCTCTTTCACTCCGCTGGGGGAGGGCAGTGGAAAGGGAAAGAACTCACATCCCCATCCTTAGGTGGAATACTCAACTCCATGTACCCATGAGGAATGTAATGCTGACTGTAATCAAAGCGGGGTTTCTTCATGAGGTGATTTCTGACAGTTGAATAGGCTCCATCACATCCTACAATGAGGTCACATGTGACATCTTTGGGAACTTTGTCAGTTCTGAAAAATAGAACAAATCATGCAAAAGCAAGCCAAAAAATCTAGTAAAAGTGTGATGATATACTTTTACTTGAGTGGGAAAAGAAGTGGCTCAGTAGGTAACCAGAAGACTCACTTTTATGAGTCTTTGAGCTTTGAGTCAATAGATGTAAAACTAAAATTAACTTGCCCAGTCACAGGTTTGCTTATAAGAATGAGAGTTATATATAACCATGCTGATTAATAAAGACATACTAAGACACAGATGTGTGGCAAAGAATTGAGTTCTCTGCATGAAGAAGGAGAAATCTTTAGAAAATGAAAAGGTATCCCTAGTGTATGGATGAATGAATCAATGATCAAATTCAGGGATGAGGCGAGATTTTTTTTATGAGCAACAAGTTTTGTTTAAGCAAAAGTATCAGAAGGTTAGCTCAAGAAAAGAACACTTATTGTCCCTTATTCTCCAGGGGTAGATCCAGGATACCAAAATCTGAGAATACTCAAGCCCCTTATGTAAAATAGCGTAGTGTTTGCATATAAACTGTACACATCCTCCCCTATGCTTTAGCTCTAAATTACTTATAATGCTTAATAAAATATAAATGCTATGTAAATAGCGGTTATGCTGTGTTGTCTAGAGAATAATGGCAGGGGAAAGTCTGTTCATATTCAGTACAGACACAATTACAAAAATAGTTCTGATGTGAGGTTGGCTGAATCTATGGGAGAGGACCCTACAGACATGACTGATCAACTGCACAATGTGAAGGGGAAAGAGGGAGGAGATGAAGAGAACTGGGGATGTAAAGACTAATGATTTATACACATTATTCAGGCCAAAGGAAGAAGGTCAAGAGAACTCACTTGGCATTTTGAGATAATGACAAGATGTACTTATAATCAGGAAATTCACATTCATTGATTAGGACCCATGTCATATCCCAAGACTCAGACATGAGGCTGGCTTTTTAGAGGAAATAGAATCAGCCACCAATTTCAAGGGAGGAGAGAATCTGAAACTGAGTAAGGTCACCTGTCTCAGATATGGGAAGGTGAGCTAGCAGGAACATTAAGAAAAATAGCAGGCACTGTGTTCAGATAGCAGTCAGGGCTAATTTTCAATCTAAAATTACCCGAGCCCAATAACTACTTGAATTGCTTTTTCCACTATCATTCGTGTCTTTCAAAAGAGCTAAGGAACAGAGTTTACACATCCACTTCTCTGCCCTAAGCCTTAGACTCTGAAGCCGCAAAGCCTGACCCATGTTTACCCGAGCATGGTGATCACGCCTTCTTCAGGATTACATTTCAACAGCCTGTGGCCAAAGTGTACATTCACATTGGGGTATTTTTCAACAGCTGAGAAAACAGGAAAAAAGGCAAATAGAAGTGAAACTCCAATGCTCATTTCACTCGATCAAGTTGAAATATTAATCAGTTACTTGGAATGGTATTATGGAGATATTTATTTTTAACCATATAAGACAAATTTGTAAAATCAACTGTTTAGCAAATGGTCTAGTATGTTTTAAAAAAACAGAAGAATAAAAATACTTTATCAAGCAATTATGTTGTGTGAACTCTTGCATCCTTGTCATTTTTAGTGGCCTTGGAAAGAAACAGTCTTGCATATTTCAAAAGTTGCCTCTAACCTAACTTAAAGCTTTATTTATGCTTGAAAATAAATATTCAACCAAACTTCTTTCCCTGTATGATGCATGTCTCTATTTCTCTTTAGCAAGCCCTCTAGAATTCTGGCTCAAGTTGTCCCAAGTAAAGAGTGGTAGTACTAAGTCTTTTGCACTGATTTTTGTTGTTGTTGTTGTTTTTGACCGGGGATCAAACTCATGACCTTGCACTTGGCAACCAAGTGCTTACCACTGAGCTAAATCTCCGGCCCACTAAGTCTTTTTAGAATCAAACACTGGAACTGGGGAGGGAGGATAAGAACATTTGAAACATCTCATCGAATAAAACTAAATTATGTTAGTGGTTTCCTGATTTGCCTGCTACCAATATATAGAATTGAGTGAATTGGGGGCTGGGGGCTTAGCTCAGCGGTGTAAGCGCCTGCCTTGCAAGCAGGCAGTCGTGAGTTCGATCCCCGGTACCGATAAAAAGGAAAAAAGACCAAAAAAAAAAAAAAAAAAAAAAAAAAAAAGAATTGAGTGAATTTCATTTCTTGTGCTATTGATCTCTTTCTTATTATAGTAGTAAGATAAAATTTTTGTCCCTATTAATGGTCATAAAAATCTATAACTATAGGCTAGTTATTATTTTTAAAAAGTTACAAATTATAATACAGGTGTTTGAGCCGGAATAGACCTTGAAGATGAGGTAGATTAAAACACTTCATTTTACAACAGAGTAATCAAGACCCTGGAAGGAAAAGTAAAGTCTCTGAGGTCATAGAATGTAAAAAAAAAACCAAATACCGGGCTGGGGACTTAGCTCAGCAGCATAAGTGCCTGCCTTGCAAGCAGGTGGTCATGAGTTCGATCCCTGGTACCGATAAAAATGAAAAAGACAAAAAAAAAAATCAAATACCAAACTTCTCAAGTTGTATATATTGATTATATACGTTAAAAATTATATTAAGCAATATTGAATTTTTTAAAAATTTAAAGAAAACAAGCCAAAGCATCAGTATTCACAAGTGTACTTAGCTCTCTATTTCGCCTTGGATTTCATCTCTTTATTTATTTATTTTTTTTTAGCTGATTCAGAATTTGAAGATTGTTGGAGTCCTGAATATGGGATTGGAAATCTTAGAAGACTGAAATATGGGACACGATGAGCCAAAGAAACTTAGATATGTATAAGAAGTCTTTTTGCAAAGAACTATACAGAAATCAGTTTAACTGTTGTACTGAGAGTTTTTTTAAAAAATACAAAATGTGTTTGTAGAGTAAACTTTTTAACTAATTTAACTTTTTTGCTTAAGTGTATAGTTTTATACTCCAAAGAATTTTCTGCAAATATTTGATACACTTCTGTTCTGTGGTTGAAGGTGGAGGGAGGAGGGAGGGGAAAAGAAAGAGAGAGAGAGAGAGAGACAGAGAGACAGAGAGAGAGAGAGAAAGAGAGAGAAAGAAAGAGAGAGAGAGATGCTAAATATACTGGTTCCCTTGAACTCTGGGATTCGGTTCCTCCATAGGAGACTGTTGAGTGCTTGAAAATCTGCTCATCTGATTGACATATGTGGCACACTTTGGATTTTGACAATTTTGGGCAATCTTTATATATATAGGGACCAATAAAAATGTATCATGAATAACTTTATTGGTTACACATTGAAATAGCAATATTAGGTTCATTAAAATTTGCATTCTTTTCTGTTTTTTAAAAAAATGGCTAATATAAAATTGAAAATGATACTTGTGGCTGGTATCATGGCCTCATATTGGACAATGCTACTTTCAAAAGCATACAGTATAATAAAGGTCTTGAGAAATACTGAAAAAAGACTTTTATTCTTTCTTAGTATATGTACACAGTACATGATGATTGCCTTCTTTGTGGAGTATTGGTATGTGTACATAACATTTTGCAATTTTTTTACATTCCCTTCCAAAACTGGTTTGATGTAGGATTATCAAAATTATTTGGCCAAATATTCTTTTATGACTTGTCTTCTTGAACAAGTATCAGCACTAAATAGCCAGGCATGATGGCACACGCCTATGATCCCAGTCCTCTGGAGCTGAGGCAAGAGGATGGCTGTGAGTTTGAGGCTAGGCTGGCCTTTAAAGTGAGCTAAAGTCCAGCCTGAACTGCCTAGTGAAACCCAGTCTCAAACAAATAAACAAACAAACAAAATATCATTACATGGGATAATGAACCATAAAACAATCTCACATAAATGTTTATGCCAAGATATAATTTAGTTAATGTATTCTCCAAAGGGAATTTGTTTAGAAAAAATGAGCATTTAAAACTGGCTGAATGTGCTGAATATGTGGAATGACTGGCTCACATGTTCACTGGTTTATAAAGGAATAATGGACTTTATATGCCAAACAAAATTTGTGCCAAGAGGTTCAGCCTTCATTTTATTAACATACTTTGATGCAATTGTGTGTTGTGCAGCACAAAATGTACAATAATTAGGAAAGTGTGTACAGCATCAATTGTACTTTTCTCATATTTTAGCACCTTAGTATTCGCAGGTGTTTCATATAAAAAGCACAGACTTTGAGGCTGGGATTTAGCTCAGCGGCATAAGTGCCTGCCTGGCAAGAGGTGAGGTCGTGAGTTCGATCCCCAGTACCACCAAAAAAAAAAAAAAGCACAGACTTTGGAATAAACAGACTTAAGTTCAAATCCAGATTCTACATTATTAATAGTTTCCTCTAAGATCTCTAAGTAACCTATAACCCTAAGCCTGAGATGAAAATAATTCCTACTTCATATAGTTGCTGGGAGAGTTCTATAACACACACATAAGCTACTTCTCATAGTGCTTATGCTTGGTGCTTTGCTGAATGTTTACTATTATTTTTACCTTAGCAAATTTACAAGATGCCACATAAAGAGACTGATTTGTGTGCCATGCTGCAGACCTGAAAGGTGGCTTGTAGCATTTGTTTTCTTAGAAGCAATATGAATTCAACCAGAAAACTGGCCCCAACTCATGTATCTACCTGTCTAAAAGATAGTCTTCCAAATATAACTATAAATAAATGGAATTAAGAATAATTTGAAGCCCTGTTTCCTCTGTCCTTAGCAAATCAGCTGATGTAACTTTCTCATTATCTCTGCTTCTCAGTTCAACCCAATTTGTTTAACTCACATCAGTCGAACTTGATTTAGTTCTGTCCAACTGACCTGCTGTAAACTGACTGTGGGGAAATAAAGATAAGTCAGGTGGCAGTGGGAGTAGCCTTCTCCAAAGAGCAGAGCTGCAGAGCTGCCTCAAGATGACTTGGATTAAAAGATGACTTGGAACTACTTGGAAAGCATGCTTTGCTGTCAGCCAGCCTGTTCAGCACAAGTGCCAAAGAGAAGAAATGAACATGAACTAGATTAAATTTCATGTAGGCTGAGAGACACATGGCGTGTGATTGGTTATGCAAACTACAAATTTAATTTACAGTCCATTGGCTTTTCCATTAATGTGCAGGCATTTTGATTATTCAGGATTATATTTCACACTTTCCTCTTTTTCCAGCTCTCCCAACACCTACGTGTTTGGTCTTCTACAAAGATGAACCCACAGTCTCCTCTCCTACCATGCTGCTGTGACTTTACCGGGGCCCTGTTTTTGTGTGCAGGGATTATGGCAGTGCTCTCAAGATCACAACTCTTTCTCGTCCTCCACACTGCTGCTGCTCATTTTTTGGACATGCACATCTAATTGTCACTTTGCAAATTGTTTGACCGTATCTGTTTTTCTCCTAGACCACGAGTGCATCAGATGGATACACATTCATTCCAGTGCCAAAGACAGAGGCATTCAATACATGACTGACAAACGTGGTTTTCATTTAGATAACTGATAAGATGCAAACGGGATTCAGGGGGCGCTATTACTGCTGCTCAAGGACTTTGTAATGTACATAGTTGTACTGTTTATAACCTTTAAAAAGGAACAGTAAGCAAATCCCAATAAATCATACAATAAGATGAGTCTCATGTGCTTTACTCAAACTGAATAAAGCATTGGCTTACCATTCAATAAATTCTTGTTCAGATTTTCTCTGCTTATAGAAAGAATATACTGCAAAAAAAAAAATAAGATCAGATATTATTTCTGGAGAATGGACAGGCAATTCTTAGTCCCTCAGTAGAATTATTTATTACTCAGCAGAAAGTTGTGAGCTTAGTTTTTTTGTTTCTTTGATTTTATTGGTATATGTTTGCAATACATAAAAATTACTTTGATTTACCCCAATTGGTATGTATATCTTTGACACTGATCCCCTTCTTCATCTCTGAAAAATCTATCTTCCTGTTCCTACCATCTCTTCTTTATTTTACTCTTCAATCATTTCTGGTTTAGATTTTTTTTATACCAGAAATGGAACTCTGGACTTTGCACTTGCCAGGCAGGCACTAATTTTGCTAAGCTATATCCCCAGCCCTGGATTTCTTATGTAACACGAACCATAGAATATTTATCCTTCTGTATCTTATTTATTTCATGTAACATTATGGTCTCAGGATCCATCTATTTTCCTACAAATGATTCAAATTTGTCTTTCTTTTTGGATGAGTAATGTTCCCTTATGTACTTATACCACAGTTTCTTTACTCATTCATCTGTTTAGGGACATCTAGACTCTTTCTATAATTAAGCTATTTTGAATTGCACTGTTATAAATATGGTATGCATATGTCAGGGTAATATGATGTCTGCAACTTTTTCAGAAAGATACCCAATAAAAATATAGCTAGATCAAATGGAATTTCTATTTTTAATTTTTTGAGGACTTTGCATACTGATTTTCACAGTGGTTGTGCTAGTTTACATTCCCAGCAACAGTCCAGAAGCTTTTCCCCACATCTTGGCCAACATTTGTTATTTTCTGAGTTGTCTGACTACACTGAAAATGTAATGATGTAAAAACTGAAGAGTGGGGGTGGCTGTAAATTTAGTAAGAACTCAGAAATAGGAAGAATGTAGAGTTGGTGGGGGAAGGGCAATTTCTTTCCTTTTGCAATGCAGTGAAGCCTCCCAGATGGGAATTTCCACCAAGTCTCTCTCTCTCTCTGTTTCTCTCTCTCTCTCTCTCTCTCTCTGTCTCTCTGTCTCTCTCTCTCTCTGTCTCTCTCTCTGTCTCTCTCTCTCTCTCTCACACACACACACACACACACACACACACACACACACACACGCACGCGCGCACACACAGCAGTAAGTTACTTTTGGTTCTTAGCTACAAGTCAATCTCTTCATCTAGCTTCTCTGCTATTTGACCAATATCTTTTATCTGTCGATGTGTGACTGGCTTAGGCCCTGGAGAGGGTTTAAATTGATGATCTGGTTTTCCTCAGCACATTCCATGACTGTGATGAGTCACTCTAAGTTTAGTAAAACAGAGCAACACAATCATGAGTCTTGTGGGGCAGGCCTTCAGGAAAACTCTCAAGGACCTGAGAAGAAACCTGCCTTATTTCCCCTAATGTTCCCCATGAAACTCTTAGGGCCTGAGGCCTAAATCTTATTTTTCTGTGAAATCTCTGGAAATGGAAACTCTCCTCTGTCTCTGAGCCATTCTAGTATTTCTTGTCTGCATCACTCAACTAAAGACTTCTCTGGATGAACTTCAAGATTGTCTGTCCTTACCAGGTTGGCCCCCTATTTGTCCTCAACAACTAGCATAGTACAGCACACAGGACAATTATCGTTGGTGGGAGTAATACATTTAATATACAGGCCTAATACTTAATCTGCAGGTGTCGATTTGCCTGTTAAGAAGAGATGGCTCTTTGGCCTTTTCTATAGATCCTAGCTCAATTTGCATATGTCAGTTAGCTAAAGATTTATCTAGGATGGCTCACAGGACTTCCTTTATCTCCTTCCCTTGTGAAGCACAGGTCTGAAGACTCAAACCTATTTTCTTAAATGCCAAAAACAAATAGTTTACTACTTTTCCAACAGCCATGCACTGAAAATTTTGATCCTGCCTTTTCCCAAGGTCCTTAGTTGTTGAAATGTTTTCCTATTCAGCCACAATTATCATCTCAAGATCCCCAAAGGCTTTGTTGTCATGAATATGTAAGTGTTTTACTTCTTGCTAATCTGCATGGTCCATGGACCAACAACACAGGAAACAACCCTGGAGCTTGTTAGAAATACACAGCATAAATGAGAACTATTGCACGACACCATCTCCTAATCAAAAACAGTATTTCTGTAGCTGAGGGTCTGCACTTCCAAAAGCAAGTGGCAATTCCAGACATTAGATTTACTCATAATCAGTCCACAAAGCATTACCTCCAGGGCAAACCTACCTGGCCTTTTGTTCCATAGGGAAGTGCAGATTTTTTTCCTGAAAGAGAATGAATCATTCTTCCTCTCAAAGGAATACCTTGGGATACAATCTGAAATGCAACCAGAAAAAATGATTTCCATTACTATAACCTGACATTGTCCATTACTAAAGCCTGATGCTATCGGTTTTTAAAGTGTGATTTTCAATGGGAGAGGTGTTTGCTGAAGAATCCCTCTTATGTTTCTGTCCTATGAGTGTCAGGTCTCATTTTGGCCACACAATATGAAATAACTGGATCACCATTTTAGATCCTAAGTTGTACTGTTAGTGATACAGAGCAGAAGAGCCTGTCCAGCATGTCTTCAAGTCAAAGTATCTGGCCTCTGGCAAATACTATATGCCACTATATGCGTTTTTAAAAATACAATCCTTGCATGTAACTGAACATTTCTGAGGCAGTATTGAAACTGGTCTGTGACTATTATGTGCTGTCTTTTAAATCCAGAGAGTTGCTGGGCTTTATTTTTTTTAACCGGTTGTTTTCAGAGTGTTTATTTTAAATTAAAATTAGTAATACCAGTGAATAAATAAATAAAAATAAATATGATTTGCACACATTTTCCAAAAAACGTTTTATACACTGTAAAGGATCCTTTAAGCTTCTTACAGTGAAAACTCATTGAATGAAAGCAGTGTTTCTGACATTTTTAGGTTTTTTTTCTTAGCCTTAGATCTTGAAATTGATTTAATGTTTATTTAGCTTAAACTAGTTTCATGAATTAGAGAACATGGTTCATCATTAGAAGGGATGAGCGATTTTTCTCTGACAAAAAGGAACACTGTGAGAAGTAAAACGAGGCACCTAAAATTCAGTGCAAATTCTTTTCTTATATAAAACTGCTGCTTTTTGGAGAAGAGCAAGGAAGTAAGTAGCACCCACACTTACTAATCTTAGCAGTTCAAGGACACGATGGTGAACTGAAGACGTAGAGTACACACAAAGCCCTTGGTTTGACCACCAACACCAAAAAAATCATTTCTTTTCGGTGAATGTAGTATCAAGAAAATGATGCTATTTTTGTTTGTATTGCCAAGCTGCATGATAATCCTATAACATTAAGCCCTTAGGAGGAAAATCTAGCACATTCACACAGTCTCTTAGCCAAACCCGAGGTGCTTGATGGTTTCAAAGTTCAGAACGTTTTATATTTTAGGCAGAGAGTAGAGTACATAAATGATAACCATCACATAACACCAGAAGGTCTGGGGTACCCCTGCCGAATCAAAAACAGTATTGCTGTAGCAAAACACACTAAATGAAATTCTGAAAAAAATAGACCATAAAAAAAAAAGTCTCACGTCAGTTCAAGTTTTGGTGCCAAATGAATGATGAAAAGCTTTCTACTTGTGGAGGATTTTTGGAATACAGTTCTGAATAGGATATTATTGCCTTGTGTAAGAAAAAGCAGGAAGTCCGTCTGCCTTTTCTCATTTTGGATGCCCTAATCTTTTTTTTTGTCTTTTTCGTCCTACTCTTTCCACCGGCAGAGCTCTGCTATCCTGGGAGAGCCCAGGGTCAGAAGTGACCTCAGGTGGGGTTGCAGTCCCCTAACTCCGCTACCTCAAGCCTTCCTGGTGTAGTAGTTAAATGCCATATTTGACTTTATTCTCTCCCCCCCAAGAGAGTAATGAGAACTGAGGAGTAATAAAATCCAAAATGTATAAATTTTGTTATAAAAAAGAGAGGGAGGGGAAAAAAAAAAGAGCTCTAACGGATATAACAACAAGGGTGTTTAGGGATGTTAAATAGCTGACTATATTAATGTTTTTGGATCATTGAACACAGCTGTTTGCAGTCTCTCCGTTTGAATGTCTACTTTGTATTCTTTGATACTGTGATTTGAGCAACTATTTCCAAGATGATATTATGTAATCTATTAATAGGTGATTTCTTACTGTTATGTTTTTTTTTTGTAGTTATGTATTATGTGTAACCTTACACTGCTTTGTTTTGTTTTGTGTTTTTCTCTTTTTCCTCTTAAATAAAAAAAAAAAAAAATGTACATCCTCCGGCCAGATTTCAAATTTTGATAGCCTTTGTGGAATGAGTTTTTTGGTGCAGAGGTCCTTGGCATTAAGTGGTACTTCAAACCAAGATAAAATCTAGACCACAAAACTGTTAAACCCATCAAATATTATCTTCTATAAATAAAATACATTAACAAGGTACCTGGTCCTCCAGGCCAATGGCTTTTAAAGCTTGTCGTCCTCTATAAGAAAGGGCCAAGTTAATGCTTCTTCCTTGTGCAGACTTGGCCACTCGCATATCTAAGATATTGGAAGCGTACTGCATGTTAGATACAAACTCCTAATATTCTAGCACACAATGACCATATTACTGAACCCGAACTACATTAGAACCACATCAGAACTTTATTAACAGACTCATTAATTCTTCTAAAGAAAACACTAATAGTAAATTAGCATTAAAGTAATATTTAGATCACTGAGGTTTTAAAAAAATCACTTTTTTTCTTTTCCTTTTTTTTTTTTTTTTTTGTACCAAGGATCGAACTCAGGACCGTGTATTTGCCAAGAAGGTGCTTATGTTGCTGAGCTATATCTCTGGCCCTGTTTTTTCCATTTTTTATTAAAATATTTTATTCAGAAAACCTGAGGAAGTTATTGAATACTCAGAATCACATTTCACAATATTTATCATAGACTTACCTTCCCTAGCTTCATATAAATCAACTTGGAAATTTCTCTTTGCAAGAAAGCATGCGTTTAATGCTCCGACCTAGAAATTAAAACAATTTTTTTCACATGCTCATCTGATTCCACACATAGAGGGATTTGTGGCAAAATGAAATATTGCTGTGGTTGTACATCACTGCTATCTTTTGTTACCTTGATTTGGTGACTGCTGGAAAGTACCAGTTGTAAAAATAGTGAGATTAATTTAAGACTAAGTGGTATAATTTTAGAAGCTTTGGTTTTCTTGGTTTCTATCCCCTCACTCCTGTGCTATTGACTGAACCCAGGACAATTCTGCCACTGAGCCACATCACTGGCCTTTTAAAAATTCTGTTTGAGACACTATCTCACTAAATTGTCCAGTCTGGCCTCTAATTTGTGATCCTCTTCCCTCAGACTGCCCAGTAGTTGGGATTGCAGGTAAGAGCAATTGTTCCCCAATTTCTTTTCTTTTTTCAATTTTTTTTATAATGAAATATAACTTTTGCAGAAAGAACTTAAAGCATGTGTACAGTTTACAGAATAATTTAGAAAGTAAATCTTTGTAACATTATAACCCTGATAATCACTATTCAGGTCAAAAAGTAAAACATTGTCAGTTCATTTGAACATTCTTGATTCCATCCAGTTACAGGCCTCACCTACAGTTCACCCAGAGTGAACATTACTGAGTATTATTAACCCATCCTTGCTTATTCACAATTTTGCCACTTAGGTACATACCTCCAAGCCATTTGGTTCAAATTGGGTCATTTTTGAACCAAGCATTTTGTATATATAACATAAAGAAGCATCTTGCTTCTCTACCACAGTATATTTATGAGGCTCACCCAGACAATCACATGTAAACTTCAAGTCATCCACTTTTGCTATGATTTGATTCTTCATGGCACGAAATAGCACAGATTATCCCTCCCACTGTCTTAAGAACGTTTGAGCTCTTTCTGATTTGAAAATATAACAAATGATGTATTTCAAAGTGCATTTTTGTACTTGGTGTTCTTACACACATGTGATGATTTTTCTCTAGGGTTTGTAAGCAGAATCTCTGATCAAAGGTCTATAGCTTCACCTTTATGCCGAAAGGTTTTAACATTCCCTACCCATGGGCTCTGAGGGCTCGTCTTTGCCACTAGTTGGTGTTCTCAATTTTTTTTAATGTTGTGGCAGGACAGCGGGTAAGGTAGACAGGAGTGTGGTTTGAAGTTGCATGTTCCTCTTGGGTCCAGGAGGGGACAACTCTTCAAGTCATGTCACATTACACCACTGCTCTGATGCAAATGCAGCTGCCAGCGATCTTAAACCTGGAGCCAATAAAAAACTTTAAAAAGGCAAAGTTTACTATAACAAAAGATGGTTTATTTGGGAAAAAACAAGATGGAAAAGAAAGAAGATAGACAGCTACCGTGAGGTAGCTCAGGAGCTCTTTTCTCGGTCCCTTTTGCGGGGGGCTGTCTGCCTATATTTCTTTTGGTAATTTTTTTTGTCCTTTGGAGAGTCAATTAAGAAGCAAGCTTACTTAATGATAAAATAAAGGGGAGGTGTGTAGTTTTCTGTAGCTGGTATAATATTTTATTGATGTTAAAGTGAGAAACTACATACATGTACATATGCAAGGTGAGTGTGTGCTTGGGTATATGTGTGTCTTACATATTACATACGAGTCGTAGGTGGCTGTCTCTTAAAGGCCTCTGATTTTGTCAGATGGGTGAAGGAAACTGGCTTTCCTGGTAATTGTGTTGCCTGGTGCCTCTCCCAAATCCAGCTGGCTCTTCCCTCCTTTGTCTAATTATTCTAACTGCAGAATCTACCTGTGAAGGCAGAATTCGCTTTCAGCAAGTTTCCTTATTGATTTTAATAAAGCTCAATGAGGTCTCTCCTGTCTTTCCCCTATCTACGGGTCTGTGTCCCTACTACATTCGTGATTAACAGAGAGCACTTCATCACACATGGATTGGCCATTTGGAGTCTCTTCTAAGGTTGGCAGGTGTGAATCCTATCCTTTCCAACATATCTCACGTTTGTCAGTTGAGGTGCATTTGTGGTTTCTCATAGCAAAGTAGGAAGAGAAGAAAACTCAGTGTAGATACAATTAGGACTAAATCGGTTACTCCTGTTGGTTCACAAAAATATCAAGTGCCAGAAAAGATAAGCACCAATGGGATCTCTTCTGCATTATTTATCTTGCCAAGTCAAATTAGCTCATGTCCAATAAGCCAGAAATTCTTCACACATCCGCCCAAGAGATTGTGCTGTGTGCCCTAGGAGGCAGGCACAAGAATATTCAGAGAAGCCCTTTTCACAGCTATACGATCAAGCGTTTTGTAAATGACTCAAATGGCTATTACCAAGGAAGGATAAATAAATTGTGACAGCTTCACATAATAAAGTGCAGTAATATGAATATATCAGCAGCATGATAAGTGAAAAGAAGTAAGTCCCACTAGGGTAAGAGGAAATTCTGTGTGTAACAATTCCAACTAGACTCACCACAGACTGTTGGTAAAGGCACGGCTGACTGTAAATGGGGAAGGTTGAGAGGAAGGGAGAAATTGGGCAACATTTGACACCCGAGAAATAAGCCAGATTTCACAAGGATAGTTTCCATCAAAAACACAAACAGACTGGGGATATAGCTCAGCAGTATAAGCGCCTGCCTGGCAAGTGCAAGGTCCCGAGTTCAAATTCTGACACAAACAAAACAAAACAAAAGGAAACAGAAAAACCCCACAAGTGGTTATGACAACTTTAGATATGTACTTCAAATGCCAAATAAAGCATCAAACCATAAACTATTCTGACCCCAAAGTAATTTGCAAATTAAAAGTTCTATTAACAACTAGACTAGCATGGCTGTGTATCAGATGAGCTCCAAGAAGGTTACACAATTACAGACTTAACCAATTTATCATTTTCCTGTTTCATGGCTTTCCTGTTTTCTTCTACTGCCTTCTTTACAGGTCTTGTGCTTTGACCTCATCTTAGTCAATGTGCTGATCCTCACCAATTAAAATACTATTTTAAAATGTGTTTTATATAAATGGAGAGGCATGTTTATCCTGCATTTAGCTGGTAGTTTCTGTCGGCTCTTATGTTACTCCTCCAGCAATGATTACTTATTATTCTAAGTAACTAAGTAAGAGAAAACTGCAAGCTAGAGTTGGGCTCTCGAATGTCTTCCGAAGGCCCAAGGGGTAAATGCTCACTCACTAGCATGAACCTAGTGGAAGGTGATGAATATTTAAGAAGTGAGGTCTAGTGGCAGATCTTTAGGTCACTGGAACTGTGCCCTAAAATGGGATGATGGGACCCTAACCACTTCCCTTTCCTCTTTTTGCTTCCAAATCACCATGTGGTGGGTGGTTTTACTTTGCCCTGCACCCCTATCATAATGTGCAGCTGTAACACAGGCCTGAAAGTAACAGAGCTAAGTGGTCTAGACTGAAACCTCCAAAACTGTGAGCCAAAAGAAGTCTGCTCTCTATATAAGTTGATTCATCTCAGATATTTGTTAGCATAAGCTAACTAATATGCCATGCCTTTAAATTTATGCTGACCCTCACGGGAGGGAAGACCATGATTACAAATATTCATGTCCTTCCAGTTTATTTGAGCATACATGTTTGCAATACATAAGGATTACTTTTATTGTGGGGAGTTGGTACCTGTATACTACACATCTTAATCCTTTTCTTCCTCTTTAATTCCTTCCCCTCCCTCCTTCCTCTATCATCTCTTGGTCCCCTTCTCTTTTGTAAAAGCTCTATTTCTACTCTTTTTTTTTTTTTTTTTTTTTTTTTTTGTCTTTTTAGTTTTTATTGGTACCAGGGATCGAATTCATGACTGCACACTTGCAAGGCAGGCACTTAAGCCGCTGAGCTAAATCCCCAGCCCCCTTTTTAATCTTTTTAAAAATCCCTTTTCCTTCCTCTCCCTCCTGTTCCATTTTTGCTCCTCTTCCTATTTTCTCTCTATTTCCTGCTGTCTATCGTTTATTACGCTTTTTGCCGACCCACAGTGGCATTTTCCTGGGCCTTTTCTCTCTCTCTCTTCTGTCTCTGTTCGTGCCACACTATGCTCTTAAACGGACCCTCTTTAGAACAGAAGTTGGGTGATATACTTTCATCTTAACATATACTTCTACTACGTCTTCAAGACTTAAGGAGTCCCAAATTTTCAGTATGACGAAATAGACTTCCGCATGTGACCCTAACGCCTCTCCAGCTCTTTTTTTTTTTTTGCTTGTCTCAAAACTATCTATAATGAGAATACCCAAATTACTTTATATTTCCAGAATATACACTTTAATTATGGCATGCTGTATATTAACTCTCATTATTTCTTTAAAAAGTGAACAGTACAGTTAGAATATATTTTGGTCAGGAAATTTATTGATTGATTAGTACTGGGAATTCAACTCACAACCTTGAGTTTGCCAGGCAGGCACTGTGCCACTGAACTAAATCCCCGCCAATAAAGTATCTCTAAAGTAACAATAGTATTACATTTAATTGCATGCAGTGTACTTCTGTTTGACTATTCAAGTTATTTTTAGCATTATATAGAATCACAAGGTACACTTTCAGTATTTTTTGCTAAAGTCCCAGTAAGGAGATGACCTACCAAATAGCAATCTGCTGCATAGGATAAACCCCTTAGCAAATCCTGAGGTCCACATTTTCTTCCTACTTGCCTCATTGGCGCCTGAGCCCTGTTACCAGGGAGGAATGGAGTAAGGCTAACAGGAGAACAAAGTATCAGAGAAAGGGAGAAAGGAGGGAGTCTGAAGTAGAGTGGGGAGAGAATTCTGACACCGGGAACAGAGGGGGGCTCTGCTTGATCTTCCTTTGTTTTGTGTTTTAAAGCACATAAAAAATGATTTCAAAGGGCAGGCAAAGTTGTTTAGAAGGTTTTGTTTGGGATTTTGAATATAGTTCAGACTTGGTGTTTTGGAGAGACCACATTAAAGACCTGACTGCTTTTAATTTCTCAGCCAAAGGACAGCTGTTCCTCTTGATATTGAATACCATGCTGAGGTTGACTTGTTCCAGTTTAGATGGCCGTAATCAATGTGTGGGTGCTTTTCCTTTTAGAGTGAACAGAGGGATGGATGGATGAATGATGGTAAATAGGGCAGAGGGCCAAATGATCTAAGCAGTGTTTTAAAGGAGGACAGGTCCAATACAAAGAAAGGAAAACCTTACTTTTGCAGGCAGTTACTATGCTTTGGTGCCTGAAGTTGGTTCCCTCCTGGATACTACTTAACCAGGTACCAAATGAAGAAAACTCTGAGAGGTGAGTTCTCTGAATATAGAAGAGACTGAGATTTCTGAGGTACTTTAAGAATCACTACTAGCAGGGCAAAAATATGTTGGAATGTTAGACAAGGGTGCTAGAGAAATATAGGCACAAAGCACAAGGGAGAAAGAGACTAGTGAGAGGAACTGGAGCCCAAGAAAAAGTACAAAAGAGATTGAGGCGGGACACAGAGTGAGGTCCAGCTGCGACTCTGGACACTGAGCAAAGCTAGAAGGACTTCCATGGCCACACGGAAACCCATTCCAGTCTTAGATAAGGGGCAGCAAGGAGGGTTTTTCCCATATAAGAAGCTCCAGAGCCTAAAGAAAAGAGAGTGAAGAAAGATTTGTTTATTTTAATGCTACCAAAATAAAATAACAAGAAAGGCTAACAGTAATTATGTCTTTTACAGGGTGAATGTCACGAATATTTGCAAAACACAGAACAAAACAAAAAATAGTTCACCTGAACCAAACGACATGCTATATAGACCTCAACACAAGATTTTAAGTCATTTGCTGGTTTATATGGGTGGAGGACATTTAGGAGGAAGTGAAAATTTGATTTCTGTTTTTAGAAAGGCTTGAGAACAAAGCTAGATGTCTGTGAATGAGAAAGTACAAAAAGAGAGCAAAGTTAAAGTTAAAAGAGTCGGGCACCTAATTTTAGACCAAGAGGAAAAAATTGAGACCCGGCGTCAACTTTCTGAGCTTCCAGCTGGCTGTGGACTGTCCCCCACCAGTCTCACTGCTGCCTTGTGCTGCCCTCTCCATGGAGTGAAGGGTGAGTGGTGAGGTGGGCAATCCTTGGAGGCAGGGCAGAACCACCATCTGGCACCACGCTGGCACCAAGCCCGTCTCAAGTCCATAAATCCATGACACGATCACCATGATCTAGAGTTGTGAGTCCCAGACTCACAAAGCTGTGCTACTTTGAAGGCACGTGCATTGATTGCATGATGAAGTGTCCTGGTGTCATCCAGGGAGAAATCCGTGGGTAACTCCATGTTCTTGGTGTCTTCCCAAATCATATATCCAGTCACATATTTGTTACCTCCTCCTTGGGTTTCTAAGACATTTTAAGAGCTATTGCTGCCAGCTTTTAGAATACATGAATTCTTATTTGAGCAATATTTTGCTAAGAAGGAATTGAATGGAAGCCTAGCTGTGAAGCGATGACAGCATACATCATATCAGGTGACCAACAAAGCACTCAACAGCGTGTCTTAGCATTTTGAAATTTATAATCAGATATCATAAAAGCACCGTCATAGTACTTTGGGGAGAAGACAATACAGAAGACAGTACAAAAGGCAAACAGCATGTTATATAAATATTAATATCACGTAATATTAAACATTATATAAATATATAGCAATATACACTTCTTCTAAAGGCTAGTATCAGGTGCTAATTCAGTTTTATTTAGTAAATAAATTGGTAAATACATAAACATCTGTGAGTTAAAAGCTGGAAAATGATTTAACCAAAGGTTAAAAACAAATTATTAGATTAACTATGTTTGTTCTAAAAAAGGAGTTCTGCTGAGAGGAGAAGAAGTATAGTTTGCTGGAGGCAGCTCCATGCTAAGTGGAGAACTACCTTGGCACCCTAACTATGGACAGACATGGTATCATCAGTGTGGGCAAATCCAGGCACCTTTACTTTATCTGCTCAGGTAGGAAGTGAGTGCCTCACTCCACCATCCAGGTTTAGCACCAGAACAGAAAGTAAGTCAGGCAACCAATTACTTATTATTCCCAACAGTGCAAATAACTACTGAACATCCAACATGATTTTTTACTTTAACTGCGTGTTCCATGACCCTTTTATTCTTTGAGACAGTATTAAGCTGATCTATTAAGCTGATCTATTAAAGTGGGGTCAATGTTTTGATTAAAATGACTATAAAGACTAAACACCTAATTTTAAAAACATAGCTAATTTGCTCAGGAGGCTGAAGTAGGAGGATCGTTGCAAGTTTGAGACCAGCCTGGGCTACAAAGTGAGCCTAAGGCAAGCCTGAACCACACAGGGAGACCCTGTCTCAAAAACACAAAAACACCAATACAAAACAAAACATAGCTAACTTGAGGGTAAAATAAAAGTGGGCTCGCTTTATTTTTGATTTCTGAGAAATACTAAACTACAAGGATGAAGGAAAGAGACACCTTTGTATTTAATTTACAGGAAAAAAATCTTCCTTGGCAAAGAACAAATTAAAACTAATGGTATACTTAAAATAGTTGTCAATTATTAGGAAAGTCTTCACAAAAACTAACAATCTGTACAACTGACAATAGTAATCAAGCAAATGAGTAATCAGTATAATCCCACCAACCCTAGTTACACATCCAGAGAGATTCTTACCAAGCCACCACCAATGACAGCTACTTTTTGCCTCTGACTGGCAGATGAGTCCATCGCTGCAAAGTACTTTCCTAGGTTGCTGTTCCGGTCTGGAAGGGCTCGCTGCTCCACACTGATTCTTCCCGCCTATCTGCTAACCAAAGCCTTTGTGAGCCAGATTCAGTGTTTGGTAAGGGATAACTTCCCTTGGTAATATTTTACTCATTAGTATCCAAAGTACAATCAATTCAGCTTTTTTTTTTAAAAGAAAATTCGTTTCAGTAACCAAGTTTTGAAAAGTTCAGCCAAATGAAGACACTAAGCCGAGTTAGTGGTTTTGTTCTTCTGTTTTTATACTTTCCTGAGCAAGACACTTCCCATTTTTAAAGCATTGCTTACTAGAAAATTTAGAATCTAATCTATACATTACCACTAGGGGAAATGGTTAGTAACATGATTCTACAAACTGATTTCTGGTTTTATATTAGCTACTCATCTTTTTTTTTCTTTTTTCCATCTCATTTAAAATGTGTATCATTTGTTTTTATGTACACTTTTAAGTTGCAGATTTTCCTGGAATATTATGTGGTATAAAGTAAAATAAGAACATAAATGAACATGCATTTTCATTTTCTGGTGAAAACAGATTTCAGCGTGATTTTGACCTGGGTAGGAACTAGAGTTAGACATCATTCAATAGTGACCTCTTGTGGAGAAGTATGGTTAGAGTTGCTAGAAAACTGCTAGGTATTTTTATGTATTTATTTTGAATAGTAATATAATCACATAGTGTGAAATTCATGACACAAAGGATGTAGGACAGGTATTAATGTATCTCTTAATCCTTGTGATGGTTACTTTTCTCTCCTTGCTAAGACAAAATGCCCGACACCAAACATTAGGGAAGGAAAGGTTTATTTATCTCGCAGTTCCTGGAGCTTTCAATCTGTAATATGCTGGCTCCAAGGCAGGGTGGGACATGGCAGAGGGCAACAGTTCATGGCAGCGAAAGACAGCAAAAGCCACAAGTACAAAAAGGCTGCAAAGCACGGAGATTTGTTGCTTCTTGTGCTTCTCTCAGGCCATCTTTTCTTTTCTCCTCTTCCTTCTCAGCAGTCCAGATCTCCTTAGCTCACATCTGCAGTCCACAGTCACTTTGTTCTAGCCAAACTCCCAGTGTTGTAAATCATCCTGCTCTTGATTTTGCGAGCAACTTCTTAAATGCTGTGATTTGCTTTCTTGCTTTCCAGGTGGTATCTTTTGATGAAAGGTATTCTTAACTTTAAAATATTCAAGTTTAGTGATTTTTTTCCTCTGTGGTTAGAATTTTATGCCATGTTTTATAATTTTTTTCATAATCTTGGGGTCATAAAGATATCCTTCCATGTTGTCTTCTATGAGATTTTAAATTTACCTTTCATTTCTAGGACTATCTAACATACAGTTGGTTTTCATGGCTGCTATGATATGTACTCCAGAAACTGACTTTCTCTTCCAGATACATACCCAATATTCCCAGTACTGAATGAAAAGGTTTCCTATTTCCCACAACTACTTTGTCATAGATCACTGTTTATAGGTTTGGGGACTGTACCAAGTTTCTATTCTATTTCATTTTAGTTAGTCTGCACTTATCTATGCCAATGCTAAGTCCGTAATAATGCAAGTTACTATAGTTTTCAACTAACCCTTGATACATTGATCAAGTTGCCCAATTTGCTTCTCTTCAGTAGTTTTCATTATTCTCAGTGCTTTGCATTTCAATCTAAGTTTGAAGATCAGCTCAGTTCCATAGAGAAATGTAACAAAATCAAGAAACAAAAATAATTTTCAGATTTTTTTTACTTGGATCGCTCTGATATTATATCTCTGCCTAGAAAGAATAAAATGCATAAACTTTTAATCCACAAATATGATATGCATTACTGTTGGAAAAAAATAACTTATCCCCAGAAATAAATTGACTTTAAAGTGTAGTTGTTGGACATTAACATTAGCTTTTATATTTAGCTACTGCTTCTGTATTATCTTTTCCAACTGTTTGACTTCAATTATCTTGTATACTTAGGTTTTATTTATTTATTTTTTGGTGCAGATTTTGAATCAAGCACTTTGTTCATGTTACATGTGAGATGCACCATTGACCACACACCCAGCCCCTATACTTAGGTTTTAAGTGTGGCCTTTGTAAACAGCATATATTTAAAAATCTTCAAAATCATTATATTTTTGGATCACCCTTCATTGATCAAACATTTACGGCAATTTCAAATAAAATAAAAGCAGGAAAGAGGACTTCTAGAACTGCTTCAGAACATGGCAAGAATGGCTGGATAGGCTGGGCATGCTGGCGCACACACGTAATCCCAACACTCAGGAGGCTGAGACAGGAGGATCTCTGTGAGTTTGAGGCCAGCCTGGCCTACAAAATAAATTCAAGGCCAGCTGAACCACATAGTGAAATCTTGCCTCAAAAAAAGTACATAAATAAATAAAAATACAAATAAAAAAGAGGTATGTGTGCTTGAAGCAAGGGGGGAATATTTTGTGAAAGAAGTTAATGGCCACTACTTAATGTAAGCATGATTATTTTGTGGTCTGTCTGTTAATTCTTCTCATGGGTTTGTTTTGATGTTTATGTATTTATTTTAAGTACTCATGTCATCTAATTTCCATGTGAACATTTTAAACTACATGCTGAAAGGTATATTGGGAAAAAAATCTCTAAGTACTTTGAAGCTTAAATATCCTTTGCTAAGTGGCTTCAGTGGCTTGGCACTTCCTTGGTGAGCAATATTCGTAGACTGTCTCTAGAATGGCTGTTCCTTTGGTATCTACACGGCCCACTTGAGACTAAGCTGGTGATTTTCATCCATACCATTTGGTCTTTTAGCTTAGGAGCTCAAAACCCTTTTTCCCCCTGCAGCTGTTAACATGCTGATGTTGAATGTTATTCATCTGACAAACTTTCTTGGAGGTACTGGAATTGGCCATTTGGGCACGGATAGCAGAGTCTAAAGCTTGTGCACAGTTCTCTGCCTATTAGCTAGAAACTTGCCTTCTTTTGGTACTATCAGAAACATAATCCAATGGCATATTATTGTCTAGGTTAGTCAAAAAATATTTTTAGTTTGATAGCTTAATTCTTATGAATGACATTGCAATCTACTTCACAAATAATCTACATAAAAGTTTTATACATGTGAAATTTATTATGAGGACTGATAACTGTTATGTTTCTAGATCATTTATGAGGAAGGCCAAATAACCCTCCAGTTCTTAGACAAAAATTTACATCAAGCAAATACTTGAGATATAAGAAATTAATAATGAATCACACAATTCCATATTGCTTGTAAACTATATGTTAATTGGCTGATAGATGAAGATTATTATCATCATGGTAGAAAGTCCCAGCTTTATTCTTGACTCATTCTTAGAATGGATATAATTATTTTGTATTATTATCTCTGAAGAATCTCCCCAATTGCTGTAATAAGAAAAATCAGTAATGCATCACTGTTTCTCCAGAGGTAACAATCTTCAAATTTCTTTTTGCTCTCTTTTTTTGATAATCCAAATCTAAATTAAATTCAAACGGATAAAGCAGTTACATAATGCTGGAATACTTTGGAATTGACATTCTGTGGTTGGCAGAAAAGAAGATGTACAGGATTAGCCAAGAGAAAACAGATCTGGGAAGAATGGCAAAGTTGTGTCTTTTACAAGTTCAAAAATATAATGACGTGTCAGGTAAGAGAAAGCGCAAGATAAGTTAGAACACAGTTTAATGATTAAAAGTTACACGTTTGACCATGGCTCCTCTACTCCTTCTAAAAAAAAAAAATCAGGTAGAAACATTGTGCTGGAGGACCCTCAAGAAGGTGTAAAGATTTCTGTTCCTTCTTCCTCCAGAGAGCTTTCTTAAAAGACTAAAGAATTGACAGTCTAATTCCCATCCTCTGAGCTAAAAAAGCTGGGGCTGAAAGACATGTTAGGCATTCATAGGGTTAACTTGTATCACTAACAACAAGCTACTGCAATCCAGTTATTTGCTAATCTCTAAAAAGGGGTGTTTTAAGACAGAATGATTTGAAGGAATTTCATTTAGGCCAGGCACTGAGTAGTGAGTTATACTTCTCTCTATATACTTGCATGTTTTTTTCATTTAACAAACCAGCATGTCTGGAAAGGATAAAAGTTTATGAAAAATGATAATTTAGCAGAAGATTCAATAATATGTTAACTATGTTGTTTTTGACATTTTTATGCTTTTGAAGTTGACAGAATGTTGTCTCACTATATTTGATGAACTCAGCTTGCTCAATCAATGTTTACCTAGCTGGCCGTGTAGATGCTTTGTGCGGGCACCTCTCTCTGGATGAGTTCTTTCATCTGGGCAGAGTCCACTCTTACTGTCTGGAAGACAGTTCAAGTACAATACTCTTAACACAATTATCTTATCTAAAGGAAGAAATACCTCCGTCACACTTTGGAGAATGAGGACAGAACTTGGTTAACTTTTTTGGTTGTTAATTTTCATGATTTTGCAAAGTTTCGGACCTGCTCATTGGCTTACGAATCAAATGTTCTACGAAGTAGCCAATGTAAACAGTAACACCTTCTGTAATTTCCTGCTATTTATCTTTGCCAGGGTAATCCTTCCAATTCCTAGTACTGCGTGTGATAAAAACATGGTGAGTATTTAAAAACTGATCACAGTAACAGACATGGCCCTTAATCCTCTTCAAAATATTCCCTCTGCCTCCAGTGCATTCATTCCGTTATTTTTGTGGCTTTGCGCAGCAATTTTGGGAGCCCTCTTTTGTGGGTGTCTAGTTGTGCTGTGCCAGCCTACTTGACGTTTTCTGTGTTCTGAACCATGTTGACTCTGATTTTGGGGAAGAGCCAACGTGGCACAGTGCCAGGCCCAGTGAGTAAGATGGATGAGGACTCACTGGAATATTTTCATTTGACAGGAATCGATGATGGGGTTAAATGTGTTTAAAGCTAGGGAGAGTATTTTGAGAGAGATTGGTGGGAATGTGCCTTTTACTATAATAACTTTAAAAAAGTAATATTCTTGGTGTTGTTTGATAATATTCCGTATCTCTAAATGGTATTGCTTGGGTTTTTCTTTTTCTTTTGTGGTTTTAGGTATTAATTACATACTGATTTCTTATGACTGAAGTGTGTAATAACTATTATTTCACCATTGCCCATTCTTTCAACAGTTATATCATAATTTTAGTTGGGTCAATAGTATTTTTTATAACTATAACTCTTCAAATTCAATAATGGTTATTTTCATTTCCTGCAAAAATACAACTATTTTTAT